ATAATAATGAAATACGATTATTTATTCCTTATAAGACGTGAATAAATAAAAAGATTGTTTCTAAAAAAAAAAGTTATTTTCTGTATATTCACAAAAAATAAAATTTTCTATGAGATTAGAGCTTATTGAATTTAATAAAAAAAAATACTTACTTTTGTATATTAATAGTTTTTGGAAACCTAAAATAATTAAAATAACAGGAAATAAATGGATGAAAAGGTGGTAGAGATGAAATATTTATTTTATTACTCCAACGAAATTGGAAAAGTAAATATATATTTCTAAATATATTAATCGTCTGTAGTAGCAATTCTGATTTCATAATTAAAAATAATTCGAATTTATTTCGGAAAACTACACTCGTCGAATTCATCCCCAATTTTTCTTATTCGCAAAATTGATCCGAACTCGTATGGTAAAGTTGTACGAATCATTCGCGATCGAAACTAGTGACATCTGACATCGAAGAACTTAATTTTGCAAAGAAACAATATTATCGATGTAGAAATATCTCTGTTTCATTCTTATCGATAATAAAGATATCTGTATATCATTTCTCGATATACGTGGAATTGGTATGATATAATTTAAGAAATCGGTGAATAATATGCTATTTCCAATTATCCGATTCCTTTGTTTTAAAATTAAACTTTTCTTAATAAATTCATAAAATTAGCATTTCAAATTAATAGGAAATTTCTTTGCACAATTGTTTTAAATTAGTACTTCTTTTTGCTATAATTTCTGTAAAATCATTATAGAAAATGTAAACTCTTTATTCGAAGAAAGAAAATAATTTTATACTACGATGTTTAAATATGAATTCTGAAAAACTGAATTAATTTTTAAAGATCAATAGAAGAATACTCGTGTATCGAATTTTTCTATAAATAGAAAATCCTCCAAAATTCAACTACATCGATATATGTTTTAAACTTGGGTGCTTCGATCTTCCACCCTTTGACCTTTTAATTTTCCCCACTTCCCTACAAAAAAATTCCATTTTAAAAAATAAAAACTTTCGTTTAGTAGAATCATACTCTTTTTTTTCTCATTCCCAATTACCATTTCCAATATCCAATAATCTACGACATCGCGTTTCTTTTTTTTTTTTTTCTTTTTATAAATCGCCCAATCTTTTCTCTGACTGAAAGAG